CTAAGTATTACTCAAAATAATTAAAAAAAAAATTTAAATATATAAAAATAAAATAATAAATAACATTAAAATTAAATATTGAAATGAACTGGATTAAAAAAAACTGATTAATTAAAAAAATTATTAATTAAAAATAGAAATAAAAACGGTAAAAAACAAGTAATTAGACCGGTATCGAAGTACTCAGAAAATTAAAATGAATACATTAAAATGATCAACAAAAAATATACGTTTCAAAAAAATACAACGTTTGGTCAAATTTTGAAATAAACTTTACCCGGTTAAATGGTTTAAACTGTCCAAAAATGCGACCGAAAAACAGTCGAAAAATTTAAATGAGCATGTCAGGTTAAACTACGTGAAATGTAGATTAATATCACTGACGTTTGCAAGCTCGATTTTAAAATTTTTCGTCCACTGATTTTAGACACAGTTGACTTTTGATTTGACTGATTCGGCTGTAATTCCAACAAGTTTATTCTGGCAGATAATTTGAGTATTATCCGAGATGAAAGACATGATATGCTATGCAGACGATGCAAAAAAGAAATTTGTGGGATCTTAGAGTAAAAAATTAGGGTATAACAGTCCTCTTATGTTTAATTTTCATATGTATAATTGATTCTAGTATGATTTTATCTTTCAAATTTCACTCATCTTTATCTTCTTTTTGTTAATGTCAAACGGGGGGGAAGGATACGTATGCTTATTATTTCCTTGTTTCTATTTCATTATAGGTATAAAATTTGATCAACCAAAATGATTTAAAAAGTTAATGAACTAAGAGGGAGATAATCAACCTAGAGGAGAATTTTCAAAAAGTAACAATTATCAAGTTTTTGTCATCATAAAAAATGGGTAGGTTGTGAAGACAAGTCTCTCATGAAGATGTTTTAATGAAGATAAATGTGTTGGAAAGAAGAGAAAAAAAATGTTTCATACTCAAGTCAAGATTAAAGAACTTAATTTTTCACAAGTTTGATTGTGATTAAGATATGGTTTCTCAAGGATTTAATTCATGTGTCTAATCTAAGGTGATATGCAATTCATTATTTATATATCTTAGGTGCTCAAGAAACAGTTATGCATTTTAATTACTCAAAAACTGATTTTTAATTTGGAAAATTTCAAAATTTCTTTCAGCAACAATCTATTGTCGTGGATAAATAATGGATTATCATAAACATGTTTTTAACTTAAAAAAAACTTTAAAACTTTGTTTTTACTATACTCAATTGTCATAGTAAACAATCAATTATCTTATTGCCTCTACATAAACAATTTTCCAAAACCAAGATAGCAACAATAGATTGCCATAGTCTAATTTTTTGAAATTTAACGTTGCAACAATAGATTATCTGCTTAGAACAATCCATTATTCCTGAAGCATAATGAAATTTTATAAACTTTGACACACCTTTTTATTACCACTTTTCATGGCATTCTTTCCCTAATCATTGAATAAATTTTTTGAAGTTTTTCTATAGCATTGCCATGATTTTTCAAAAGGTATTTTATAAAAGTTTCATAAATATATTTTTCTAAATATATTGAGCACTTATCGTAATATATATATATATATATATATATATATATATATATATATATATATATATATATATATATATATATATATATATATATATATATATATATATATATATATATATATATATATATATATATATATATATATATATATATATATATATATATATATATATATATATATATATATATATATATATATATATATATATATATATATATATATTAGGGATCAATTTACTCCAAGAGTAAGTTTTTTTCATTTACTCCACATCATAACTTTTAAATTGAATCTAATCTAGTGGTTAAATTAACATTTTTACTTATAACCATTCGATTAAATCTAATTTAAAGGCTATGATTGTAGAGTAAGTTATAAAAACTTACTCTTGGAGTAAGTGAATCTTCATTTACACACACATTATTGAATTGCATTGAGGTGGAAGAGAATATCAAAATTGTTATATCTTGGAATTCAAGTCAAGTTGAAAAGATTATTCAAAGTTGTATTCATAATTTGTATTGATCACCAAGTGTGACATGACATTTGTTTGTAATAGAGAATGATGTCCTTTCTTATTTATATGATAATCATCATACCGTTGACAATTATTTAAGAAATGTCCAATTTGGTTTGATTCAAAGTCTACCATAATTGTTAATGTATTTGTGAAATTAAGAAAGTTATGCACTTCTTTGTTGTTGTTAGAAAATTGTAAGAGAAGTCTTAGTGGTAGGCTTTTACAAAGATCTAACAATACTGAAAATCTCTCATGGAGTATGAAGGAACTATAATACTCTTGTTTGGAAAAAGGAAGCATGATATATCGTTGTATTCTTTACTTTCTGCACTTTAATTTTCTGTTATTCATCATTCAAAACAACCCTTACATCTTATTTTAAACCAGAAAGTTAAAAAGAAAAGGAACTTGTTTACATATTAAGAAAGTTCAGCAAGTCTTATTCATCTTTCTTAGATTACGCACTTAAAATCTACAATAACTTCTCTGATAGTCTTTTTAGGTCTTTTCCATCATTTAATTGCTTGCCTTTTCTCCATCTAGTATACCTTTCTTACTATAAAATCTATCGCTCATCTCTTTGTATGCCCAAACCACATATGTCCATTTTTCACCATCTTCTCAACTCTCTACCATGACACACTCTCTAATATTTTCATTTATAATTCTATCATGTCAATCCTTATCACACATCCACCGCAACATACTCATATCTATTACACTTTCTTTATTCTCGTGTTGATTTTTATACGCCAAATATTTTATCATGTACAACATCACAATGTTTACCGTAGTCTAATAAAATTTTTCCTTCAACTTAAACAATATTTTTTCATCACATAAAATACTTGATGCGCTTCTTCATTTCAACCACTCGATTTAAGTTCGATGGTTTACATCCTATATATTTCTCTATCATTTTATTTTACAAACCTAAAATATTTAAATCGTGCTACTTCAAATATAATATGGTGTCAAATTTTTACCTCTATATTAGAAACACTTTTTTTTTTGTTGAATTTACCTTCTATATAAAATAATATAATGCTCAAATAACAAGAATTATTCTTACTCGTCTGGTAAAAAGAATATGATAAGTGATAAAGAAAATAATATTGATTTGATCAAATAATCATTATTAATTATTAATATATTTATGTTTTAAAAAAATGATATATTCATGTTTGAAAAAAACTATTTGTTATATATTCTAGGAGACTAGGACCAAGTTGTGAATATGAGATTTTTTATAATAGACTTCGATCTAGCAATATTGATTTGAGATCTAACTTATTCTTTGTTGTAGTATAATATTTAATGCGATTTTTAATCAGGAGAAGACTTTTTTAATTTCTCTTTATAATATATGTATATATTACTATTTGTTTTTTAAAAAATAAATAATTTTTTTAATCTAGATATCATAAATATTTATTAGAAATATAAAAATAATAAATTAAATAATAAATTTAATTGATATACACTGACGGTATAAAATAAATTTACACCGTCATTGAATAGAAATTTATCAACCTATCATGTCTTACCGTTTACACTACCCATACATATTAATTAAATTTTTAAATAATTAAAAATATTAATTAGATCATACAATTAATAAATAAAGTATTAAAATTGCATTCAAAATTAAAATTGATATTTATTTTAAGTAATGAAAAAAATTTAGATGAATTGGATTCAGTCTTGAGAAGTTCATTACTCCAATATAAATCAATCAGGTTCTCATATTATCAAGTGGTCAAATTATTTATCAAGTGATTGAACATTTAAAAAAAATCATTAAAATCATTTAATATTTCGCAATTCCCAATTAAAATAATAAATTATATATTCTGACATTGTTGACACGTGTCTAAAAAATCAACCAATAATTAGTGTGATAGTCAACACCTCAGCAATTTTGGACGGTTCCAATCCCTTTCATCCAGGAATCAACGTCCTATATTTTATAATTAAAACAGATATATTCATTTAAATAAATATGACTACATCATGTGTGAGAGAGTGCATGATAATAGCGTAAAGCCCTCAATCTAACAGTATATCATAAAAATACATGTAATCTAGATCGTTGGATTTAACTAGATTGAAAAAGCAATTCTATAAATTCAGAAGAACACGAGTTTCATTATGATTGGGTAGTGATTTGAGTTTTCTTCACCGTAACCAGAAGAACCAGAAGTAAGATTAAAGACGATAAGAGAGAGAGAAAAAATTTGGCGAGTTAGGGTTTTGATTTCGACTCACTGAGTCTTCTATATAGTGTTCTTATTCTTTTTCTTTCCTTTTGCTTTTACTGATTCTTCGCCGAATTAAACTCTCACTCCGATCTCCTTGGTTTTGTTTATAGTATCATTAAGGATCGGATTTCCCGGCGAGAAGTTTGGGGTTTTTTCCGATGATTTTTGAGTGTGTTATGAATTCCCGTTTTTGTCCCTAATCTTAGATATGAGGGTTTCTATTTGTTGATAAAAAAATAAATATTTTTAATATTTTTGGTGGGATTGGATAATTTTTATTTTATTTTGGATTAATTTCTTGGAGTATTGTGTTGTGTGTGTGAGAATTTTTGGTAGCATTCAATTTTGGGAAATGTGCCAGTAAATCCAATTCCAATCAAATTAACGTCTTCAATTTGCATAATTGAGTTTTGATCTGTTTCAGAATCGCTTTTTTATTTTTTTTTATTTTTAATTTTTAATATAATAGATATATTTTCATTTTTGGCTTTTATAAATTAATATAATTGGTTTGTTGGGTTGAATTTATTTATTTATATAGTAATTTTTCGGTTGATGAATGGATCAATTTTTCTGATATAGTGGTCACTGCAACAGGCAGGAACCACTAGCCATTCCGTGTCTCAATTTTTTCGGCCTCCGATTCTTTTAGGTTTGCAATTTTGCAACTATGGCTGTGTCTTTGACACGTTTGTCTTGGTGGTTATGGGGTGGTAGTAAGGAAAAGAAGCCTGTTGTTGATGGCAATTCATCTTCATTGAAAGAAAGTGAGTCTTTGAAGTTTCCTTTGGTGAAGGGAACGAATCAAAGGAGGGTTAAAAAGAAGTGGCGGAGTAGGGAAGAGAAGAGAGTTGATAGAGAGAGTGATGTTGTTTTAGTATCATCTGATGGTGGTGGTGGATGTTTATCAGGCTCTGAATCTGATGACTCAGATTGGTCTATTGGGTGGTTAGAGCCTCATGGTTCTGATTTTCAGAGTGATGATGAGTCTGATAGTAGTTTCGCGGTTTTGGTTCCTTGTTATAGACCCGGCTGCAAGGAAGTGGAGGGACCAAATAATCATCTTTTGACTGCTATTAAGAATCTGCCAAATGAATTTTCTTCTGGTAAGATTTGGAACTTGCTATTGAAATTTGTGATTTGTCTGCAATTAGTATCGATGTCGCGTTACCTGTGTTGATTTACTTTTTTATGATGGTTTCTTTAAGTAAACATTTTTCCTGTTCATATGCTCTTATAATCTGTAATTGTTTAGATATGTTTGGACTTGATTAATGATTTGATTCCTGATTAAGAGATGTTTGTGTCATTATCTTCATGGTTATTGTGTTGGTGATTTTGGTATATTGACAATGGCAAATAATTTAACTCTTAGTGCAATGCTGATTAGGCTTTTTGGCTAGCTAGATCCAAAAGCATAATACATGACAAATGCTTCTGCTTTTTTTGTATTCTTAGAATTACCTTCTAATGGATCAATCTACTAGGTTGTTGTTTTATTTCTTAATTTTTATTTGTATTTTTAATATATTTTAATGTTTGGTGTGTGTAACTGTGGTTACTATAGACAGAGGCATGATCTTTAATTTTCTTGAGTGCTTTCATGTCTTTTACAAAGATACTTATTTTATCTCTTGTTTTTGGTTGCTTACACTGTTGAGAGTACTGTTTAGTCCAAGACTACTATGGTAATATGTTAACTTGACATATTTTTTCTAATCTTAGAACTGTTTCTTTGTTGTTTTGGAAAATGAATTTTTGTTTTTTGACTTTATGGATTTTTGTCCTCAAGCATGACAAAAGGGCGAGGACTGGTTTTGCCTTCCCCATACCCAAATTCAAATATCAGTTAGATGATACACGTTCCTCGCCTCGAACCTAAATAGAAATAAATAATTGGACCCAAAATCCATTTGAAACGGGTTTGGATATCCATGCTCCGTTCCATCCCCACATCAAGATCATTTCCTCAAAATCATAAACACATAATATATCCCAAACACTAACAAATCTATAAAAATCATAATTTAAAATAATTTTGAAAAATTTCTGACATATATCTTAAATAACAAAGTACAAACCAAATATCAATGTATTAACCAAACAATTAGTATTCTAAACTATCAAAATTAAAATTTTCAAATTAACAATAGAGCGGGTTTAGGTTGAGTACTAGTGATCTTACTATACTCATATTTTTGTGCCATCTTATATCATAGGACTATATCTTATATTGACACACGGATCAAGATGATTGACTTTAATTTCTAATCATTGCAAACTCAAGACTGCAAGTTGGTTAATTGTGTTTAAAATAACAACTTGCCATTTTAAAAAGGAGGAATGTTGTATTGTAATCAACAGTGGCAACCCTTTTAACTCTAATAATTCATTATACTAATTTTTCTTGTGATCCGTTGATGCATTAAAATCTATTGTATTATATCTGTATCAGCATATGTGTCATCTTGACTTATTGTTTTTTGGATTACTGATTGAATTTGCAGCCGGAAGCAATTACATGGAACAATGGTTGGCTTCACTTCAGAAATTTTGAAGCATAGAAAAACTTCCTGTGTGTTTGTGAACATAGATTTCGACCCTTGGCTGTGCCATTGAAGAATTTCTATTGCGTTAGCAAACACACAGAGCTTCATCTTTTATAACTAAGGACCTTTCTGACCACCTTCTTGAAGTAAAGGAGGCAAAAATAATTCATTATGCATCCAATGTAATTTTTTGTACATAGAATCCACTTCTCTTATTGTAAAAGCTCAATTTGCAATGCAAAATTTGGAGCTAGAACATAACTATATTGCCACTTTTACTACTACAATAAAAAAAAATTTCGTTGCGGTTACAAGAGTTTCTCTTGAAAGAAAATCAAAATTATATGGAAATAGGATGGCATAGAGTTCATGTTTTTCCCTATTGTGATCCAACAGTTTTTAGTCCTCTACGTTTTTCTTAAAATTAGCAACAATTAAACTGGAATTAAATAAGTTTCATAAAATGTTTTCACAGTTAAATTATGGTTACATATAATTTCTATATATTTTACCATGATTTAATCGTTGTGGTACCTCACTATTAAACACATGATTTTTTAGTGAAATGAAAATAAAGAAATGTCACTTGATAGGGATAAAATTCTTATTTATGGTTTCAAAAATTTGAAAATACAAATGAATTTTCATCCTTGAATCACAGTGTCTCTGGGTGTTTCCTTCCTTCACATTTTTTCCTTCACATTTCTTCTTGCAGAACGTGACAACATGTAGATGACAGAACGTGACAACATGTAGATGAGTGTCATGTAGATGGTTAGCTTGTTGTATACGTTCTAATTTGGGTGTAATTGAGTTTTAAGAACATGAGAAATAAAATTGTGAAGGAAAAAAAAGTTGACCAAACAATACAAGGTATGATTCAAATACTTAACATTACATATAAATTTAACATTATATATGATCGATCTTACAATCATTCGCATCCACTTCAATTGAACTCTTAATAAGTAACTGTAAAATATATTTCACATAATCTTTAAATTTTCATCCGTCTTTAGTTTAAATTTAGTGAACCATATCTTCCATTCGTCGTCAATCGAAGATGAATGATACTCGAACTCGAGAATTCTTTGATTTTCTAGATGTCATAATAGAGCATTCAGTTTAAATTTCTGATCGATAAGAGGCATATTCTCGGAGACCCTAAATTGAAATAGGGGTCAACAATACCCTAAATTGAAATAGGGGTCAGCAATGTTCATACACGGGCAGTATATATGCATGGAAAAATTTTAAAAGAAAAATAATGTCAAAAAATTACCACCAAATTTTATAACAACATTAATGAAGAGTATACATTACATAAGTCTTAAATTTTATCGAGATTACATCATTGAAAAAATTACAAATAATAAGAGTGACATTGTTAGAAAAAAACTAACATGCATCAAAACATATGTCACCACCTAAATTTATATCTATTGGTTGTTCCTTCTTTGACCTTTCTTTATTTGATTCTCTTTTAATATCGTTCAACTTCGTGAACTCTTCCATCCTTTCCAAAAAGTGATCCAATCAAAAGTTTAGCCTCTTTTGTGAAATGGACTATTCACTTCGGTGATGTCTTTGGTATAAGATACTCCAATTTCAAATAAATATGAACAAAACCGCAAACCGCTTTCCACCATCTTCAACACTCTCATTCTCCGAAACCAAAACCAAAAAAAAACTCAACAACCTTTAATTCTTCCGACCCACCACCACTCCTCCACCGACGAGACACACATAAACAACCCACTCCATAACCTTCATCAACATCCTCCGACCGGAAACCCATTCCCCAACCAACGACAACGCGACCCAAAAAATCGCAAGCTCCTATCTCCATCAAACCCATCGCAAAACAGAGAGAGTAGTGAAAGGGGATGGAGGGCGTGAGGGCGAAGCCAATGTGATTTTGGAGGCCGTTTCTGTTTTGACAACTGGAGATTTTTGTTGATTTGTTTCAGTCAGGAGAATTTGATTTTAGAGGCGAAGAAGAGGAAATGTTTTTAGTCATTCCACCATCACTTTGCCCCTCCTTTTGTTTGCCCGTGAGATCTCTTTGGAGAGTGGGTGATGGGCCCTCAAGGCTCAAATGACCCCCTTGTTATTTTGAAACCCCCCGGATCCAAAAACCCCATTGTCTTATCTTTTTTTAATTTTTATTAAGTTTTTATATTCTTTTGGTAAAATTTTTGTTTTGTAAACCATTAATAGATTGTATGTATATATTATGATTAATTTTTGTATATTTATTTTAGCTTCTAAATTTATAAATTTTTGACCTTATTATAATTTCTTTTATAACTTTTATAAGTTATTTTCTCAGAGGTTTATAATATTAGAGTTTATAGTATTTTCTTTTTTAAAAAGTTGAATTTTATTTCTCATTTGTCATTGAGCATTTTATTCCACTTTTCCTCTGTTTTGGTCGATGACGAGACCTCCGTAAACCGTTATTGGTCAAACTATTGATAAATAACGTTGGATTCGAGACCACCTTCTTTCTCTCCTCATTTCTTCTCCATTTCGATTTTATTTTGACTTTCCTTGATCGATGAAGTCATGTATCCGTAAGTGTCGGATTTATCAGAGTTGATAACCTTCTCGATTTCAAATCTATGGAAGATGACCATTTGGGTCATTTTCTTTACTTTGGGATCGCGATAGGCTACCTTCGGTTAATCAACATTATGTTTGCAATTAAGACGAGATCCCACTTCTTTTGACCCGTACAACATGATTTAATTGGAGAATGATCCTCAATATCATTTCTCTATCTTGTCCATAGCACGAACATCAATTCACGTGACCTCCTATAGTTCGACTTCCCTCATAAGTCAAGCTACGACGGTTTAACGTCACATTATGTTCCGATTCGATTCACTAACACTGTCAAACCATCTTTAATAAAAGGATAAGGTTCTCTTTATATTGAACTAAAGAGAGAGGATTGGGTGTAGACCTCTTCCTCTCCGAGTGTCAGGATACTCACTGTAGAGTGTGTGATCTCGATACTCGTCTTTCAATACGAAGACGCGGTTATGTTCACCACATTTTTTCTCTTAGAACCTCGGTCTCGTACCGAGTGCATTTTCAAACTCTTTTTCACAACAAAAACTTGAATGGTCGTGGATCGGTTAGGCGTAGGCCTTCTCCTATCCCGAGTGCTGACATTACCGTAGGATTCACTGTCGCAAAGCACTTACCATGCAAGATCAAAAACACTTTTAATAAGAGAATGAAATTCGCTTGGTATTGAACTAAAGAGAGAGGATTGGGTGTAGACTTCTTCCTCTCCGAGTGTCAGGATACTCACTGTAGAGTGTGTGGTCTCGATACTCGTCTTTTAATACGAAGACGCTTGTATTCGCCACACCTTTTCATAACAAAACTCTGAGATAAAGAATTGGGTACTACCTGCAATGGGTTACTATCTGATGACATATTTCACCCCTAAAAACAAACTCACACATCAAATGTGACATCTTGCCTCGCATGGCGAAAATTAATCTTTCAAAAAGGATATGTTATGTCCGTTCTACCGCAAACAGGTAACGCCTAAGTCTCCAACGAGCGAGCATCAATACACCTAAACTGCTAGAAGGCACTACGTTAACATCATCCACAAAAAACACCGGTTAACCGTTGCACGAACTACGTTGCTCTGATTTCTCATGCTTGTTGAGAATATGTAGGTACAAGACGACGATGTCTTGGCGAGCACCCTTTTTCTTTTGTTCCGTAGTTTCGCGAACTATGTTTGCCCTGATTTCTCATACCAGATGAGAATACATAGGCACAAGACGACGATGTCTTGGCGAGCTCACTTTTTCACCTTTTTCTGTAGTTAGTCGAACTACGGCTGCTCTGATTTCTCATACCAGATGAGAATACATAAGCACAAGACGACGATGTCTTGGCGAGCACATTTCTCCCCTATATCTGTAGTTCCCCGAACTACGTCAACTCTGACTTTCTCATATCTGTTGAGAATACGTAGGCCTAGGACCGCGAATCCCTACCGAGTCTCTCTTCCCCGTTACCTCTCTTTCCCCTATTTCTAACTTTTTCTCTCTCCTTAGGAACACCCTTTATAAGCAATAACTTTTAGCAAATATCTTCACACGTCGACAAACAAATGGTTCTCAGTGAGTACGATGGATGCGAGGGGTGCTAATACCTTCCCCTTGCGTAACCGACTTCCGAACCCGTTCTTGGTTACGAGACCATCTTATCTGTTCTTTCTTAAGGTTTACTCGATATTTTCCTTTCCCCTCGTGGGATAAATAAATTTCAGCGGCGACTCTTCTGTCTATCTTTTCGCCTCCCCGTCATTGCATTTTTTCGAGTAGCGACTCTGCTAGGGACTCCTACCAAGCCAAGCCTAGTTTGTTTGTCGCATGTTTGATGTATTTATTGTGTTTTGTTCCTCTTACCGGTTGGGTTTATTGGATGGTTTGTGAGGATAAAAGCTTTCTACTCGAGCTTTCTAGTATACACTAAGATTAGGAGGTGGTTTCTTTCTGATTTGCGAGACTTAGGACTCGTTGAGTTGGTTTGATTTCAACTACTCAGATGAGACCCCTTTAGGATGATTATGTCTTACGAGTAGTCGTAATGGCGTCTTTATTTCCAACCTGGGAGTCCGTGACTTTGGGGGACCTTTTGTAGAACCTTATTCCAAAGGTTTACTAAAACATAACTCTGTGTTCATCCTTTGAAGGGATTACCGTCTTACGAATCATCGTTATGATGGAAAACTTTTGAGGGTTAGTGCATAGGACTTTATTTAAAATCCTTTGGGATACCCTCTTATAAGTCAGTAGATTACCCACCCAAGGTGAGAGATATCTTGTTGTGTTGTCTTACAAGATGTGTGACCTTGATCCTGTGTTTGTTGCATTTCATATTGCATTACATGGCATTTGCATTTCATTTGCATAACAGGTGTTTGAGGCTAGGTCTCTTCAAAGAAGACAGAAGTTGACTATGGAGCAGATTC